CCCACGGAGCTGTTAACCTGGAAGGCCCTGGTAAGGGTAGAGGTGCGTGGGATGACGGTGGCGTTCGAATCTGAAGCCTTACGTGGCCAGGGCAAGGGGTAGAGCTGCTTGGAATTTTTCTCCCAGATGCATTTTCTAATCAGCCAGAAAACGCTGATTCATCTGGCTTGAAACTCCACAGAGGAGCTTGATTTCAGGGGTTTTTTCTTGGAAGACGCCCAGCTTGCCTACCTGCTTCATTTCCTGCCCCCCAGCCCGGCAGGAGCTCCTGGGGGGCGTTCGCCAAGGCTGAGCTCACAAGCAGTGAAATGTGAGGCCCTTTAGCACTGAGCAATACAACTCATAGTTGCATCTAATCTTTAAAATCCTTGCCCTACTTGGATATCTGCTGTATATATTTTTTTTTTTCCCTTTAAGATGTTTGACCTAAAAGAAAGGGCAGGCCTAATAATATTTTATTAAGTACTCCATCTCGGGTTTCAAGGCTGAGGAAACATGAGTCCAGGGCCTTCCACAGTGGTGAATACATTTTTGTAAGGCCTTGGGACATGACCTACCTTGATGAAATCCAGGATAAAATAGCTTTCTAATCATGGTTATGGCTGGAGAGAGAGCACAAAAGAGTACCAGAACTACTTTTTTTTTTTTCTTGCCTTTTTGCACCCTAAAAAGGAATGACTCGTGATAGAAGGTTGCCTGTTTTGAAAGGTCAGTGCAGGAATACTGTATCAAAGGGTTACTTAATTTTCCTAACTTTTATCTGGAACATGTCATCAGTAGCTTGCAATCCTCTGTGCTATTAGGAGACCAGGATGCATCCTGGTTTTTGAGCAAGCGTGGATGGGGAAGTAGAGTGGAGAAAAGATGATATCCCACTATTCTGTTTGACTCTTCCCTTTTGTTTTGTGTGAAACAGTTTGTTCAGCTTCTCAGTTCCAAAGGTGAGCTCTGTAGCATATTAAACACATACGGAGATATTCACACCATCTACTCCAGGTTACTTTAGCCTTCTACCTCGCTTATTTTCTGTGTTGCATGTTCAGTGTAACTCTCCCTTTCCCTCCTTCCCTTTATGCCAGCTGGATGTGGGGCTGAGAATTACAATCGGCATGGGGAGATGAGACTTATGAGGAATGAAAATGCTATTGAATATTAATAAAAAGCTTAACTACTAAAAAGTCTACTCCCTGGCAAGAAGGGTGAGCGGGAGAAGGACAGCCCCAGCCCGGGTCACAGTCCGTGTCCCACATATCCGAAGGGTATGTGACAGGTTGCCCTTGTGCTAGAGCAACATGACGGTGGCCGTATCTGCGCTGCTGCCAAAGGGGAAAAACGAAAGCGTCTATACTTGCTGGTTTTTACTTCGGTGATAGTGATATACCCTTGCTGTGGTGATATTTATCCCTAAAATACAGTCTTGTACAGATGGAGGTCTTTTTTTTCCCTCCTGTATTCTGTCCAATACACCGAGGCCTTTCTCACTTAGCAGCTTTTCAGGTGAATTTGATTGCAGCTTGAAGAAATCTTTGAACCTGCTGGAAGGTGAAGGCTGCTTTTCTCTCCCGTGCAGTGCTTCAGGGCTGCTGCGTTGGCTGCAGCTGCTGGGCGGAAAAGCTGTGGGTGGGTTTAGGGATGAGGGAATTCTGCAGGGTGGGCACGACGGTTTCAGGCCCGGGGTGCTTTATTGCTGCTGGCCTCCGAGGCCTAAAGCTTTTTTGGCCACACACAGCTTTGTGTGAGGCTGGAAGAAGAGACCATACATCAGGAGACGAAGCAAAGTGCTTCGTCCTGGAAATATATGCAGAGAATGAGGATCCATCAACATAGATTAAGCAGCCCTCGGTATGCAAGAGGCAGGGCCATTTGCAAGCGTTAGAAAGAGGCGGCAAAGATCGGCCCCAGCAAACAGCTTGCGAGCCCATTTGTGGGCATGAAGCTTGCCTGGGTTTCCAGGAGGCTTCTTATGTACCCTGGGCTGCCTTGAGCACGCATAAAAAAGGGCTTCACTGACACTTGGTGCAAGTTTATCTCTCTGGCGGTGTCATCTGTTTGGGTGTGTGTATGTGGTCTGACCATTTGTTGGGCCTCCACGCGAATCTGAGCCGTTAATTCTGGCTTCTAGTCATAACTGAGAACAACAACAGGGTTTTTAACCCTTTCACCACGAGTGTTAGGTTTTGAAAGCTTCTCTGTGCTGAAGTTGCCGTGTCCCCCGCTCCAGCTCTGCCTCCAGCCCTTGTTTCCCTCACTCTACCCATGTCCTTTCTCCCACAGGTCCAATCCATCAATCCCCCAACACACACACTCCCCGCAGGGCCCCGGAGCTGCCCTGGTCTGCCATTGCCTTGCATGCACTGTACAAGCCAAAAAAATTGAAACCCTTTGCAGATATTAAAGCTTCACAAGACCTCTCAGGCCGTGTCTGTTCTCCCTTCTGCCTTGCCACCTCCTCCAGCCCAGCTCCGGAGTGCGTCACGCTCCTCTGTATGAACATCCATCACCACTGGCTTCTGCAAAGCTGTCCTGGGGTTTGCTTTGGTTGCACTGAGCGGGGAGGTCAGGGTGGCCGGGGATGTGGAGGTGGAGACTGGGAGCGGGTCTGTGCAGCGGCCGGGCCGTGGGAGCTGCTCGGGCTGGGGCGCCTCCCGGCCTCCAAGGTAGCAGCCCGGAAAGAAACACCCGGAAAAGCAGCTAGTGCCGTTATGTGATGGGACAGGGAGAGAGAAAATGCACGTCTTGAAAATAAGAAAGGTAGGTTTCCCTGTTTAAAAAAAAAGGAAAAAAAAGGTTCTTAAGGATTGTCAGGGGAAAAAAAAAAGTCTCCTTTTTGTTTTCTCTTCAGGAGAAAATCCCAAACTGCATGGCCCAAACTGTGCACAGTGCCACTAGCGGAGATTTGCTGGGATTTTGTACCTCACCATGAGCGCAAGACTTTCTAAACCCATGGAAATGGGTGTTTTATTAAGGCACAGAAGTGGGATAAGCCATCAGTAGTCCTGGCTCCTTTCTTCTGAAGACTTTATGCATCACAGATTGGAAAGGCCCTCCTGAGATATAAGAAAACCAAACTTTTCAAATACCTAGTTCAGGCCCAGTAATTGTTTTAAATAGCTGAATAAAAACACTTTTTTATTATAAGGCTGCAGTTCTCTTTCACATGTGAAGCCGCTTGTTTCTTTTGGCAGTAAAGGGTGATTTTACTTCTCTCCGAGGACAGTGGTAAAACTTTCAACAGCTCCGGCACAGAAACCAGCTCTTTGTGTAACTGGAGTCTGGAGACCAGAATTTTTTCTTCGGGTTTTTGAGTTCCCCACAAGCTCGCTTTTTGTCTTTGCTTTTAGCAAAGGATTTAGGATTTAGCATTTTTTCTTAGGGATAAGAGAGACAGAAGTTAGGATATTCCCTCTGTTCAGGGACTTACTTTTATTCACCTATTTAAAACAATTACTCACCCTGAATGAGGCCAAACGCAGGCAGGATGCATGATGGTTGTGGTTACGTGTGATACTAGGTAAATTTTTTGACATCAAACTGTTCATGGAGGGATTGCAAGAGTAAAGGCATCAGCCCTCTGCACAGGGCTGCGTAGGAAGATGAGCAGAGCTTGGACCTACCCTTCCCTCTGCCCTGGACTGAAGAGCAGAAATGTCTGTGAATCCCACTCTGAAAGTGTGACCTGATTGCCAGCCCCTAGGGCAGCCACAGGAGGCGAGAACCGGAGGGTTGGAGAAACAAGAAGGGACGTGTGAGGAGCGCTGGATCATAGCACCAGCAGGAAGGATGGAGGAAGGGCCCTTTGGCCTGCTCATAGGGAATAGCGGGACAGGGACGCGGCTGAGGAGGGAGCAGCAGGGTGCCCGCTGCTTCCTCAGTCCGTTTTGAAGCAACCTGGGGGAAAATGAAGCAGTTGCTTTCTTTTTCCTTGGAGAGGGCTTTTCCTGGGTTAATGCGTAACACCCATTGCAGACAGGCAGCTTTTGCAGAGCTGGTGCTCACGGGCGGCGCTTCATGTTTCCTCCCTGGGAGGAAACAGATCTGGCAACAGATGAGGTGTGCGCAGCCTTGAAGCAGATGTGTCAGCTCTGGGGCATGGCAAACGTGCGTGGTGAGCCAGTGTTGGTAGGGATTAAACTGCTGCATCAAAGCTGTGAGGAAGCCAGGAGTGCGCTCACCTGCGCTGCTCCCCCTCCATCACAGACTCCCTTCCCGGTGCCACCTCCCCAGCTCTACCATTGCCCAGCAGCTCCTCTGAAGACTACCTTGATAACTCCTTAAATTCAGATTTTTAAATTCAGATTTTAAAGCACTCATTAGCAAGATAGAACCACTGGATTCCCAGTGCTGGGGCCCTTTGCAGCCTGCTCTGAGCACCGGAGCAAGGCAGGTGTGGGCATCATCCCTGCTCCAGCTGCTGCTCAGTGCCAGTATGGGGCACCCCATGGACTTCTCCTGCGATCCCATGGCCCGGATAACTCAGTGGATAAAGTGGGGAGGTGGGAAAAGACTCATCTTTCACAGTAACATGCTACAGAAGATGCTCGTATCCCTGAAACTGGGTACATCTACGTTAAGGAGGACGGGACATCAGGTAGAAGGTTTTGGTGGTGAGGTCGTTTTCATGGCAAAGCTCAGGACATGCGAGGAAGCAGTGGTTGTGGTTGGCTTTTGTAGGAGCGGGTGAGTTGGCTGCCCTTCCCCGGTGTGCTGTAAGAGCAGGGGGCATGGCTCAAGCCCTGGTGCTGCTCTCTGCAGGCAGAACACTGTTTTGGCCCCAGCAATGGTCAGCGTTGCAGTGATTAGTCCTAGAGGTCCGTGCTCTCGCGTGACTTTTAATGAAACATCTCCAGATCTGAGAATTCATCTTTACGGTCAATCCCACTGGAATTAGTCAGACTCCTGGTGCTTCCTTTCCCCACAGTGACACTGGGTCCAACCCACACGCGTTGGGTTTGGATCTCTTCGCCGATAGCTCCTGACTGTTTTCTCCTCCTGCCTTACAGATCACCGGTGTCATCCTTCTCGCCGTCGGCGTCTGGGGCAAGCTCACTCTAGGCACGTACATCTCTCTCATTGCTGAAAACTCCACCAATGCCCCCTACGTGCTCATTGGGACGGGCACCACGATCATCGTCTTCGGGCTTTTCGGCTGCTTTGCCACTTGCCGGGGCAGCCCATGGATGCTGAAGCTGGTAAGTAAGCCAGAGTGCCAGCGAGGGAGAGGGTTTGTGCATGGAGGGGGATTCTTTTCCGCCCTCTTAAGTTTCACCAGATGTCAACATGGTTTTTCAGACATGGAAACTAGGCTTTATTGACCTTAATGTTCAACATGTGTGCTTTTTTGGACAAAGAAGGGAAAAAAAATGTTCTTGCCAAAACCATTTGGTGATTGAATATGAATGAATTTTGCTACTGCACAGCACACAAGCCCATGTGTTTGGGAGCAGGGGTAAAATCTGCTGCTGAATTGCCCTGTGAGTAATCCTATGATTCTAATGTGAAATTTATGGACAAAATAGTTGGTACCTTGTAAATGCACTTCATTTTTTTTTTCCTCCCTAGCATTCATTTAAATTGAGGCGCATTAAGCACAGACACAGCAGCCATCTCACTCTGTAAAATTTTCTCTATTCTGAGTTTTCCAGTCTGCCTTAAAATGCAAAATAGCTATAGCTGGTGAATTAGAGAATGATAAAACAAACAGTGTTTGTAGTCATCAGGAGTAAAATGTTACATATGTTATGGTTTACAGGGTGGAAATACCCCCTGTGAAGCACTGGGGTAGTGCAAAAGGGTTTGGCAGTACAATGCATTTCCTGCTAGGATATTTTGTAGCTTATTTCTTATGATGATGAGATGACTCTTGTCCAGATCCCACCAGATCTGAAAGGGGACATCCCACAGGAGTTAATTTCCTAAAGCAGTGGCTCAGTATGGGAGAGGTGCTGGATGTAGATGGGTCCCCGGGCGCGTAGAGGCTGGCCGGTGGGCATGGGTCTCAGGCTGTCCTTGGCAGTCAGGGTGCATGTAGTGGCTCGTCAGAGTTACCACACACACAGCCCAGATGAGGGCGGATAAAGGGTGAAAGAGGATATAAATCCATAGGAAACCAGGCCCTGCTAGTTGCCCCATGAGTCACGTAGCTTCTTTAGAGGTAAATCCTCCGACTTCCTGTAGCACAAGCTCTTCCAAACACATAGTTTTATTGTCATTTTACACATTAGAAACACATCAAAACTGAGCTTCTGTCTCGAAAGGAATGCTGACAGTGATTTGACAGCTGCATTGATAGCAGAGAATACTTTTTTTTCTGGTTCTGCCTTCATTGCTGTCCTTCCTTTCCCTCTCCCAACAACCTTCCATTGAAAATAAATTCCCTTCTTTCCATCAACTCCTACAAGCATTGAATTTAATTTAAATTGTTTCCTTTTTAATTAACCATTGAGTTACTGAGAATGTAAAGATTTTTTTTTTCTTCCCCACCAGGAGATTAAGCCTCAACTTGAGACCTGCTTCGCAATATATATATATATATATATTTTTTTTTTTGATTATATGCATTCCTAATAGTCTGTGAGCAGATACACTGCAAACTCTTCTGTTTGTAAGGCTTGATTAGTTCTGAATCCATATGGCTCTCCAAACCTAAACATGGACCTTAATCTAGAAAGATGTTTGGGACATCCATCTACGTATTATTATAAGTAGTATTACTATGAGAATATTTCTAGTGATGTTAATAGTTCAGTACACACATTCAAGAAATTTGTAGAGTTAGGCTGCAAGTCTCAGTCTTGCAATGAGGTAGATGTAGATAAACCAATACACCTGGATAAGCCTGTTTATTTTAGTTGAGTGCCATACAAATTTAAAAGGTCATTTGTATTCCTTATGACATGATCAAAACCTTAGTGGCTTGTGATCCATCTTTGCTGTGAGAAAGTGTAAGTTGATATGAAAACACTAAGAAATGTGGTGATAGAAATGTTAGAAAAGCTAATAATTACAGAATACGTTACCTGAGTTATATAAAAACTTATATTCATGCAATAACTTATGCAACTCTGCCTAAAGACCATTGCTTTTTTATAACATCTTAAAGACGATCTAGAACAGACAGTTAAAACCGAACTTTTATGTGATAACTAAGCAGTGTTTGTGCTGAGAAATAATAATAATAAAAAAAAGCATGTCCTGTTCAGCTTGTCCTTGCTTCTTCTCTTTTCAGTATGCCATGTTCTTGTCCCTGGTGTTCCTGGCTGAGCTCGTGGCTGGCATTTCAGGGTTTGTGTTTCGCCACGAGGTGAGTGGAAACGGGCTGGGGTTACACGTGGCAGCACCTCTCTGAGCCGGAGTTGCTGGGAAGTCCTGTGGAGCGCAGACAATCTGCAGCTCCCCGAGTTCAGCGGTTCCATGTTCGTCTCCAAGGTTGCAGCTGATTTTCAGCTATAACATGTGGAGCTCTTAAAAACTGATATGTTCCAAATGAACGGATTTAGCCAAAGCTTTTGGCCGTAGCTGGCTGATATTTACTCTGGACCTATCATTTTTTGTGTGTCCATCATGCAAAGTCTTCTTTACCCTTTTGCATATGCTGAGAGCTGCAAGATAGATTAAATGGTTTTCTTCAGTGCAGCTTCTTCAGCTAGGCAAGCAGTTGTTTATATAAGGCAGAGAGTATTTTCTGAGAATATTTCATCCAACCAGGCTAGTTTTCTGGAGGACTTGTAAATCACATATGTGCTATATGGGATTGTTCTATTCTGAGAATAGGGAGAAGTTAGAAATAGCAAGTGGTAGGAAATAGGGACAAAAGGAAGCTTTAAAAGAGGCTGATGATCTAGATTAGTAGTAGCACTTCTGTTTTACCCACTGTAATCATGACTATCTGATTTTAATTCCATGGACCTATATGCCATTAGTACTGAAAAAGGACAAGCCCAGAGACCTTCTGTCTCTTCTCTTTGTGTCAAGTGTCTTTGTATTGGTTTTATAGCCTCTTCTTCGGGGTTTTCCCTTCGTATAGGTTTTTCTGGGTTCTACCTTTACAAGTGTTGGACAGTTTTTAATTTGATCCTGAAACACCTGGCCAGTTGCTGAGGGCCAGCATTTCATCCAGCCTTGCGGGTGGTATCCTGGGTATCATGCTGCTCTTCCCTTTTGGGAAAGGCAGTCTCCTGTGAAGGTCACAGCCGTCGGGTTGCCCAAGTCATCTGCCACCCATCGCTTTTACCACCCTCTTTGAGTCCTTTTGTGGCAACGTGCCTGACCTTCTCCAGCTGAGAGCTCTTGCTCCTCACACAGGCACCGGTGGTGCTGTGAGCCAGCATTGCGCCCTGCTCCAGAGAGTCACTTTTGCTTTGATGTCCTCTGTCTCCTGGCTGGGACTGTGTGACAGAGAAGCCTGGGCTGCTCCCCTCTCTGCCGCTGCTCTCATCAGCACTCGCGGCTCTCTGGCAAAGACCTCCTCCCTTCCACCAGCCCACGCTCTGCACAAAAGCTCCCAGGCCCTTGGAAGGTCAAAGGAGAAGTGCAGCTGAGAGGACAACCCAAAACTATTCTTGCTTTTGCCACTTCTCTTATGCCTGTTTGATATTGTCCTGTGTTTCGTGAAGGACCTCACCATTTGTCACGTTCTCAAGTGATGTGTTCTCTCCTGGCTTCCCCGAGCGCAGTGATATTTCTCCTTCCTTTCCCCTTCTCCCTCTCCAAAAAAAGCCTAAGGCCTTAGCTGGATAATCTGAAGCTATCAGTCTGTAAGCCCTCTGCACAAGATCTTCTTCACTTTGTTATGAATGCCAAGGATCATAACCCCAAAGCTTTTGCTTCGAGATGGGACATGGCACCATTTTTTGCCATATCTGCCTTTCCTTCCAGACAACCTCTGTTGAGCTGAAGGAGTACATTCATACCCCAACCATCCCAAACAAGAGTAACCAGCTTTTTGTGTAGTATTCTTAACACCCAAGCCATGTCACTGGAAACATGTGTTGTTAGGGTTTAAAACACCTTTGTTTCCCCCAAAGACTGTTGCAGATCTGCTTTTCATTGTTCACATCAGCTGTTTTTTTCTCCTGTCCTCTTAGATCAAGGATACTTTCCTCAGGACATACACTGAAGCGATCCAGAATTACAATAAGAATGATGAGCGGAGCCATGCAGTGGATAACGTCCAGGAAAGTGTAAGTTTGAAAGAAGGTATTAAAAGTAAATACAATTTAAAGTCAATGAAAAGGCAAAAGTCAGACATGCTGATTTGGTCACAGAACATGAAATGTTTTTTTTGTTTGAAGTAAAATGTGGCATTTAAGTTTGATCCTGCTCCCCAATTCTGATTACTTGCTCTTCTGGTTGCATGGCTGTCTCATGCAATAGCAAATTGGGTTTCTGAATGCTTGAGAGGATATGTTGCCCTGGCAAATCAGTGGGAGTTTTTCCATACAGATCAGGGAAAGTGGGTTTTGTGTTGGTCTCTCTAAGGAGTCCTGTTTTGTTTGGCATATTCACTGCATACCATGCCTAAGGCATCAGCCTTAGGTTGGCTACCAAATGGCAATACTTCAGAAACACTTCTGCAGCAGCATCTTGTTATGCTGTTGCTTTGTCAGATCAGTCAAATTAGGCCCTCTAATCTTGGGCCTGGCCTGTGTTAGGAAACTCGTACCATTAGGATAGAAATGTCTGACAACTCCTGAGATAAACTCATATAAACCAACCATAGAGACTGGTAAAACTGGTCTTAAGAACAAGCATTTCAATGGGTAAACTTGTATGAGATGATTTATTTTTTAATAAACTCAGTGAAATCTGTCTAATAAAAAAGGGCCTGTGGTACTTGCTAAATGTTGGCACCAGATTTTGAATTAGATTTAAAGTTGGTTCCATCTTTAAGGATTGTGGAAGGTGGGCAGCTTTATTCTTAAAGGACTCTACCAGTAGATTATAAATAGAGTTACGATTTGACCAGGATTAGACAGAAGTTAATAATCTAGCATCTTTCGACAATGATAAGCAGCAGCAGCAGTTCTGCTCACAAATGCAATGAAAGACTTGGCATAGAGACTTAATGAGTGGAAGTCAAGGGGAAAAATGGAATGTATTCCACCTGAAGCGAGGATGGGAGGACCAATGTGGCTGCTTGCCAGGACTCTAGAGAGATATGTATAAAATAAACATTTTTCTTGTTCAGCACTTGAAGACAAATAAATAAAAACATGAAGAAAGTAGGACAGTGTTTTTAGGAACTTTTGAAGGAAGAATACAGTGTTCACTTGCATGATATCGGGCTACCAAAGCACTGTGTTTTATCCATAACCTGAGGTAACGGAGGTCAGGCTTGGTGGTCCATACTCCATGAGAAACCCTTTCTGACCTGAGGGGTGCTGAGACAGAGAAGTGGGGGGTTTTCCAGCCCTGCAGTGGAGCATAGAGCACGAGCAAATGCCACAGCACGGCTGTCTTTATTTGTATTTAGTTTTAAGTGGGCATTGATGATGGTTTAAATTATTGCACTGAAAAGGAAAATCTTCATCTGTTTCTGTACTTGTTTTCATTCTGGTTCCTTTTTGTTGTCTCCCTCTTTTCCTCATAGCTGAGCTGCTGTGGCATTCAGAGCTACACTAACTGGAGCACCAGCCCTTATTTCTTCAAACATGGCATCCCTACAAGCTGTTGCATGAACTCCAGTGACTGCAATACTCAGGATCTGCGCAATATGACCGTGGCTGCCACTAAAGTAAACCAGAAGGTACCAGCAACTTTGTGCCAGAGGCAATGGTTATGAAACCATCCAGCAAAACATTTGAGCAAATGACTGCTAACGATTGTATTTTGATTCAAATGCTTGATTGATAAGGATTGCATTGTTTATTGGGATGGACAGCTGATAAGAGTTGGGTTTGCATTTGAATTCTTTATACTCACATTTTTGAAATGACCAGGTGCAAGGGCATTTCTGGTGAGATAGGAGTTTGTTCCCCTTTCTCATTACACTGGTTCAGGCACAGCATTGCACGAAGAGGCACTGCTGAATAGGCAAAGGAATATATACAGCATGTGCATTTGACTGCAGTCAGCACATCTCTGCTTGTTTCTGCTGAATACTGTGGGGTTTTGTTTGTTTGTTTTGTTTTTGTTGAGGACAAAAATGTAGTTAGGTGGAAGGAAGAACGGGTTTTATTCTTTTTTAGTTCTAATAGAAATGTCAGTGCCTGTTGTCCCAAAAAGAGAAAAGAGAGGTGATTAAAAGAAAGCATTGTGGTTGGCTGGCTATGTTTACAGTGCCTGTTAAGAAACATGGATACATGCTGTTGCAAGCATCACAAAGCCAAGCTGAGCCCTCTCCTGAGGTCACCTAAAAAAGGAGGTTGGAGGAACAGAATCAAGGGAGAGGAAGAAATTGAAAAATTGAAAAATAAAAATAGCACAAAAAACCCATACACAAACACACACACACACAAAAAAAAAAAACCAAAAGCAGGGGGGAATATGGAAAATAATGCAGCATATACAGCAAATATTGCACTGTAGAAGTACAGCTCAAGTTATTCTTTTAACTTCTGGTGCACCATCAGTTCTTTCCTTCTCACTTAAGATTTGCAAGAGATGCAACAAGACAGTTTGTAGATAACAGGAAAGGTTTTGCAGACAAATAGGCAACTTGAATTGCAGCATAGATCAGTCAGACTTACGGGTGATTCCATTTGCCTTTTCTATTTCCATGGGACCTGCTGAACACAAAGAAAAAAAGATAGGGAAAAAAAAAAAAAGAGGAAAAGCCTGAGTAGATAAAGGGGAAAATATAGAAATACCTGCTTGTCATCTGTTTTAGTCTTTCGTGCCTCAGACACTTCAGTCAGGAAGTTGGACTGCTGACTGAACATACTCTGAGGGTCTTTCCGTGTAAAGCACTCAAGTGAATGCTGTTTTCTAGATTGTATCCCAAAAAAAAAGGATAACAGAGGATTATCTTCCACTAATATCGTCTCTTGAACCACAATAGTATAATGAGAGTCATTTGTTACAAATATATTTGGAACAGTAGTGACTCAGTCTGTTAAAAAACTCCTCAGAAACATCAGCCAGGTAATCCTGATGTGTTGCAGGAGGATAAAGGATAAACAGTTCAGTTATTGGAACCTGGTAAAAGTGTCGTGACTTTCCATTTTTTGGAGGAGAGGAAATTCCCCTTCCAGAAAGGCTCTCTGTTGCATGTGTGTCCTCGGTGATTACCCTTGTACTGCACCAGCAGGTCCCACCACACGTGCTTGGGAGAGCTGTGTGCTTTGAACCTTGCCCAGCTGCACAACCCTGCAGATGCTGCCCATGTCACCACCATCAGTCTGGTGTTTCCTCCAAGTGTCAGACTTCCTTTGCATGCTCTGCATGGCATGTATGCCCAGGTACATCCCCATCCACATGCAAGTTCCTCTTGTAAAGGTTTGAACAGAGCAGCTGCAGGAGGTAAGTGAGCAGATAACCACTAACCACTGGATAAAGGTCTCCAGTGGTTAGTGGTTATCTGCTCACTTACAGCTGTGTTTGTTCCTAAGAAGTTGTGAACCTCTCTCATATCAAAGGCACAAGTCACTGGACAGAAGAGGACTGCTGATTCCTCAGGAAACAGTTGAATTAATTATTGGATTTAATTACCCAGAGGTAGCTCAAACATTCTGTAATATCTGAGAACTGTCCAAGTCCCCCGCGTCTCATGATAGCCATTTCTAAACAAAGGTTGGAAAGAATTATGTTCAACAGTGGTCAGATCTTGGAGTTAGCCAAGTATGAACAAGGTAGGGTGTTTCGGAAAGAGGCATGAGAATAAAAATGGAGAAAATGTTGTTGGGCCTTGTGCTTTAATTGCAAATAAGGAGCAAACATCATTGCCTCTGATCCACGCCCCATGTTCTCTTGGGAATAGGTACTTCACTCTGTTGCGTTTTGGAGAAAGCAAAAAATGTGTATGTCTCTGTTGCAGAATTATAGAATCACTAAGGTTGGAATGGACCTTTAGAGATCATCTAGTTCAACCCCCCTGCACATGCAGGGTCACCCAGAGCACGGGGCGCAGGGCTGCGTCCAGGCGGGTTTTGAAGACCTCCAGAGAAGGAGACTCCACAGCCTCCTTGGACAGCCTGTTCCAGTGCCCTGTCATCCTCACAGAGAAGAAATTTTTCCTTAAGTTCCTGTGGAACTTTTGGTGCCTCAGCTTGTGGCCGTTTCCTCTAGTCCTATCACTGGCCACCACTGAAAAGAGGCCGCCCCCTCCTCCTCACTGCCTCCCTTGAGGTATTTATACACGCTGATCAGGTCCCCCCTCAGCCTCCTCTTCGCCAGGCTGAACAGGCCCAGCTCTCTCAGCCTTTGCTCATAGGGCAGATGTTCCAGGCCCCTGATCATCCTCGTAGCCCTGCGCTGGACTCTCTCCAGCAGCTCCACATCCCTCTTGTAGAGGAGGAAAACAACTTATTATTGTTTCTACAGTCCCTTATTGTTGTTTCTGTAGAAAAGTATATTTGAAAAATCTTTTTGATGGATCTATCAGAACTATCAGACAAGTTCTCAACAAGCTAATGAATTTACCAGCAGTTTATGAGGTCTAATGATATGATCCAAATGATCCAAAGAGGCTTAAACTAATGGTCTAACTGCAAGACTAAAAGACAAGTGCTATTAGATCTTTTTTGCTAACTCTACCACTAAATTTCTTAGCAACCATGGTAAATAATTTAATCTCTGTGTCTCTTTTTTTTTTTGATCTGAGATTAGCCTAATACCTAGTTCTAATAACTGTTGTTAGGATTAGCCAATTCATCTAGTGGTTTTAATCTTCAGTGGTCATTACCAACAAATCTCAAGAACTCATTTTTTTCTAAAACCTTAATAAGGGAACAAGTGTGTGGCATTGACAGTGATATTTGCTAAAATGTCATTTCTGTCTTCCGAACCATCACCCAGTTGTACGCACAGTGCTCAGCCTCCTTTTGTGGTACATGTGCAACTCTGGGGCGTTTCTTGCACTCTCATCCCTGTGCACAGTGAGGACTGAGCAATTAAGCCATATTTATGCAAAACACTTCAGAAAGCAGACTACTGCAGTTTGGGAAAACATAGTCCTCACATGAGGAAAGCAATCAAAACTATCTCACTCACATATGCTTTTAACAAGATTGGTCTCCCTCAAATTGCCATTAGTGTCAGATGTTGCATCTTTTGACTGACAGAGCAGGTTTCAAAAGAGTTGGGAGAACTTCAAGCCGTGTCACACAGGAGGAAAGAACGGGTTGAGAAATCTAATTTTGTTTCATAATGTGTAAGACATATCTATAGTTGTCTGATGGGTTAAATAAGTAAGCTTAAATCTAACAGACAGTAGACTGTTGTAAGGCCTAATTAAGGCTTAATAAATAGGCTGTGTTGATCTTGAGTTATGAGTAACTTGAGCACTTTGGTACTCTCAGGATTATATAGGATATATTCTGCTATTACGTAAGAGATTAAAGAAATGATGCTACCTATATTGAAATGGCCCATCTTGACAAAAGACATTATTTCAGTTATTTTATGTGCAACATACTGTCCTGAAATCTTGCACAGAGTTGATAAAGTGTTTGCAGATTGGTGTGTGTGTAGGGTAGGGGCATGTGAACACAATTCTGACTGGTAGGACTGGAGTCCAAACTGGGAAAGTGAACTCACTGTTATTTGTGTTTTCTCAAACTTCTGATAAAGTGGATCAAGTTATTACATGAGCTAAAATGGCTCAGGACTGGCTTCATGGCTGAGAGAGTTGTTGGTTATTTGGTGTGGCCAAACAGACTGAGAAATGTGTACTTTATAGGCAGATGGGTTTGTAAAGAAAAGAAAATAGATATTTATCTTTTTATTCAAGTTTTGTTTCACGTGTTCAGATTCATTTAGGTACCACAGGGTAGGAAAGCTAATTACAAATGCTGTTTGGGGGAATTGGGTAGGTGTGGGGAAAAGATTGGAGAAAATAAACATACTGGGAGGGGACATGTCAAAAATGCCTGTCCAGGAGCAAGGATGTGTATGGATTTGCACACCCTGGTAGCTACTGTGAATTGAGGTACAAAGAAGTAATTCAGATGGTGGAATCGGTGTCTGATCTGTCTAGAGACAGAAATGTGATTTTGGGGAACAGGAAGGGATTTTTTTATGGCCTAGAGGGGAAAAAAAAAAGAAAACAAAAAGAAAAAAGAAGGAAAACAAACCAAACCCTTGACAACTTAGTTAAGTATTTGGAAGTTCTGAAGTATTCTATACTTACCTGGTTACCTTTGACAAAGGCCAGCAGAGCTTCTTACCACACACCTGAGGCAAGCTTGCATTAAGCATCGGGAATCTGAGGAGATCAACATCAATTACTCATTTTTAACAGCCTACATTGTTTTACCATTATTTTATACTTCGGTTTCAGACTGAAACTGTGTTAATTGTTTTTTTTTTTAATCAATGCTGGCAGCTTTTCTTTAATAAGTAATCCTGGGAAAATGAGTGCAATGTCATATTTGTTTTTAAAAAATATCAAAATATATTTGCATCCCAAAGGAACTATTTTTGTCACCCCATTTCCTCATATAGTTAGAACTGGCATTAAATAAAAAAGTGATATTGTTGGACATTACAGCAAATACACCATCCAGCCCAAGTCCATTCCAAATGGGAGGCATGTATCTATGTGCATGGGGGAAGAGCTGTGCAGTGAATGATTATGTTTGTCTCTATTTTCTAGGGCTGTTATGATTTGGTGACCAGTTTTATGGAGACAAATATGGGAATCATAGCTGGAGTGGCTTTTGGGATTGCATTCTCACAGGTAAGTGCATAAATACACTTTTTGGGGGTTGTTTATTTTTTTTGGGGGGGTGTCATTCCCCCTTCCCCTTCTGTTTACCTGACTTCAAGGAAGGGAGGATTGCAGTGAGGGACTGAGCACAGCATGCTCATTAGTCTTGAGGTCATCTGTTCATTGATTTTCTTTTTTTCAACTTAAATGAAGTTTCTCCTTGGGAATATCAGTTACGGTTGAGCTAATGACTAGCTCTAGGAAAACAACTTGTCCCTCTCCTGGGTCAAATAGAGGTTAACCCAATAAAACATTGGCTTAAATGGAGCATAAACAGCTAAGAAGACAAATAGCTGATCTATTGTTTGGATAGGCTTCCCTCTTCTAAACACTCTTATTTTTCTTTAAAGGCACCTAGAGTTCAAGTAATGTTAAGCTAAGGCCTCTCCACTCTGGAGAAGGGAGAGCCTGGAATGGGCAACTGGTTTTGGTAGCTGATGTACTATTTACATTTTTTTTCCCTTTTAGCATAGAACACTGAGCAGAAATCTGCCAAAAACAGAATATTAAGCCAACTTCTTGCCTGCACCAAAATGAGTTTGGTATGGGAAGGAAAAGAGGAGAGCTAAGAATTGGTTGCTGCTCACTGACATTCAGCCTGTCGTTACCTAGATGGAAGTTAGGGGAATTAAAAGGTCTGTTGAGAATCTTTTAATCAGGAAGTGATAGGAAAACACTTCCATCTTGCAACAACTCTGACTCTCCCACACTGCTCACTGTCTCTGCAATGGCGAGAACTCTCCAGGAAACGTGCGGCAATGAGCTGGAGGGGAGCGCAGGCAGCGCAGAACTGCTGGCGGGAGGCAGCAGCAAAACGCGTTTCAGTGTGCAGGGTGCCTCAGCCACTGCTGTTTGAGAGCCATCTGCCTTGCCTCTCTGGAGAGCCTGTGCCATGACTGTGAATGCTGCACTTACAAACTCTCTTTAACGCTTTGATTTGCTTCACTCGCACGGTATTAAAAACCTGGGGCCTGAGGCACCACTTCAAAATAAATATTTTTATTGAATGATTTGTTTTCCCCACATTTGACAAAATTAGGTGCTAGGACAACGTATTTGACTTCCTCTTAAAACCTTGGCCTTCGTGTTCTTCAGTGTAAGTGCCCTAAGCTCTGTGGCAAGTGGTCCCTGTGTCCTCCTAGACTTGGTAAGCACAACCCAAAGCAGCCCTAAATAGAGGTGGGCTCGAATCAGCTGTCTTCTCTGCTTCGGGCATATGTGCAAAAGTAGTGTCTTCTTGCCTCTGTTCAGATGGCAGAAGCCCAGTACTGAGAGCTTTGATCCTGTTTTCTGTGAACCACTTTGGTTCATCTTACCTCCAGCCACAGAGCTCCCACAGAGCTGATACCACATAGGGTAGAAGTGGTGAAATCACCAGTTTTGAGTTGTGAGGGAAGGGAGGATTTTGTTGTTGCCTTTTTCTTTCTTTTTAATAGGTTCTTCTGGTTCTTGTTGCCTTGTCACAGCTGCCCTGGTACTTTTCCAGGCTTAATGACTGGAGTATGACTTGTGACATGCACTTGGGATGGAGAGCATAGGAAGAGCTTAGCTGGAATTGTTGCGTTTTGGTGCATGCCTGCATGTTCACCCTAGGTTATCAGCCCTTCCTAAGCTTGGCAGGGCAAGGCAGGAGATGCTGCAGAGAAGGAGAGCAAAGCCTGCAGGATGTGGCCGCTGCCCCAGGAGCCTCTTGGTGCGAGGCAGCATTCAGGCTGCAGGCAGTGCAGCCCGACACACACTTTGCCGTGGCAGCTCCAGGTGAAATCTGAGCGTGTTGGGATGTGGTGTAGGCGGCTCGCTCTGCCCATCAGCACCAGTGCTCCCCCGCCAGCTGGGCTGTTACTTCCCATTGGGAAGCGGGGCTTTGCACTCCAGGCAGAGACACCAGGACAGGAAAAGCCTCCCGGACACGTTCACAGAAGAGAGAAGGGTGCAGAGGAGAAAAATGCACCTCCCCTGGTGTGCAAAGAATGGAAGGCAACTAGTTCCTGACAAATCTGTTTTGCTGGGTGCAATTAAGAATGATGTTTACAAACTGGTTTTCGGTTGGCTGTGGCTGGCAGTACTGCCAGGCAGTGTTCCAGCTGTAGGCGAGGTTTCGCTGTTCCTACTGAGAACAGTTTTAATCTAAATAAAAGACGAATTAGATCATTTTGCTCTTCTACAGAAAAGTGAGCTCAAGGGCCTTTCTTCGCACGATTTGTTGGGTTTTGACTAGCGTGAGGAATGTGCTGATTCTCTCAAATGAGAAAAGTGATGTAATGGCATTGCACATATTTTAGCTCTACCATAGGCATCTCGGTCAGAGTTTGAAAAGCTGCTGTGTTGCGGACACTGAATGTGTGTTGAGAAGCAGACATTGCTTCTTGGGTCTGAAATAATAGTAATAAAATACAACTTGATTGTTTTCTGGAATTTGATGCCAGTGCAGACTTCCAGATGGAATAATTTCAGCTTAGCAGGTGCTCTTTAGAACAGCAAAATGCTCTCTGCTTTCTGCCCAGCAGAGAATAAACTTATGCAAGCAGTGGAGCTGACAAAGAGCTTTGCCTGGATAAAACTACAGTGCAAGCGTTGTCTTAGGGATCACAAGAGACAAGCTTTGGGAGGCTGATAGATTTTGGTTCCATTAGATAAGTTTAAATGCCAAGTAGGGGACTCTCAGTGCAATGGACCGAGGCTGAGACCTGGCCTGTCTTCGATACTCCATCATATAAGAAATATTTTTCAAGGTCTTTACTCCAATTTTGACCAGTGTCTGCACTACTATGTTAGAAGAACAAACAGCTGACTCTGAGCAGTTGTGTGTGGATCTGCTGAAGATGAGGAAGGGCCTTTTTGGCAGATGTTCTTCCTTGAAGATGCCAGTGAACTTGGAGGAAGAACCGATGATGGGGCAGGGCTGTTCTTCAGTGCTCTTTTCTCTGCTTATGCCTGTGGCACACAGGCTGGCAGTGACGCCCACAGTTATTTTCACTCATGCTTTCCTGCTCTGGGGAAGGGAGATAGGCTCCTCTCTGACCCCTTGCACTGGGGTTAAGGACTTGAAGACAAGCTTTGACATTGCATGGAAGAGAGGAACTGGGATCCTCTCAGTACATATGTCTTCAAATCTAATATATGGCTGAGTTTATTGCTTCTAAAGACTTACACTCTTCGTTTAGTGTTGAATGCACATGCTTTGCCAGAAGCATGCCTCAGCACATGAGGCTGTCAGGTAAGTGACGTGAGCTAAAAAAGTCTCATAAAATAGTCAGGGAAATGGGATGCTTGAGCTCTGCATATGGAAAATATGGCAAGAAAAAGAAAAGAACCACTGCCCTAGTCTGTTATTCCTGAGACAGAAAAAAACTCAACTTAGTTTACCTGAGCCACTGATGAACTTCCAGTTAATTCAACAAAGCAGCACTTATATATTCAGACTTTACAAAGTTCCAAAGAATGAGGAAGGGTAAAGATACCAAGACCTACCAAGAAATGGAATTTGGATTTGCATTCCAGTTCAGTATAACAAGATACAGTCAATATGTCATGTGAGACATCTGCCAATCAATGTGAAAAAAATACATAAAAAGCCAGACCTCATGCATGTGATGGAAGGCAGGATTGCCAGGAAGTTGCTTTGGGTGGATTTTAGTGGTCAGATCTGAGATATACTGGAGATTACTCCTGGGAACCACTGCAAGATAAACAGTGCATGCCCTGGGTTGTGCTTGTGAGAATGAACTTACATCAGCAGTGTGGTGATAAAGACAACACACCTAAGGGATGTTGTTTCCCAAGCAAGAACTTCGCAGTGTTTAAAAGCTCTCTGCAGCGAGACCAGCGGTACCAAGGCAAACCCTGTTTTGCACAGAATAGTTCAGGAGACCAAGATAATCTTAGGAAGAAAATAAAAATGAGAGAGAATAACAACAGAATTGAATAACGGAACAAAACATAATAATGATGATGATTATGATGATGATAATAATAATAAAGAGTAAGTGGATAAAAGTTGAGAACGAGGCACTTGAGAGCCGAGCTGGTCTAGCAGCCAGCTTCTTTGCTGGGATCCCTTATGCTGCTTCCGGATGGATTTCAAGGGGGCTGCAGGGACCGGCTGTGCAGGAGGAGCAGGCGCTTCCCGGCGCCTGAAGAGCAGAGGTTGCCCCCATCAAGCAGAGGCGGCGAGCAGGGGGCACAGAGCCAGCTCCTCCGCTGCTCGCAGGCTGGGGGCTTCCAGCCGGATTTAAGTACAGGGGATTGGCTGTAACCAGAGGGCACTGAGGGGAGAACTCAGCAGCTTACCGCAGCAGAATCACCTTAGAATCCTTAAGGTTGGAAGGGACCTCTAGAGATCACCCAGTCCAACCCCCTGCTCCAGCAGGGACACCCAGAGCACGGGGCACAGGGCGGCATCCAGGCGGGTTTGGAAGATCTCCAGAGCAGGAGACTCCACAGCCTCTGCCCTCTTGGCTACAGAAAGGACAGTACTCATATGTGGTTAACACATCTTGTAAAATGCACATTTTTATATGTGTTAAGAGTACTTGCAAGATACTAATTATAGCTCTGCCAACTCCTAGTGATGGCTGGAAGTGTGGTATAAAATCAGCGTGTGTAATGGCTTGATAGACGAGACATACCATCACTTGGGAAATAAATTTAATAATATGATACTATCACCACCTAAGACTATAAACCAGCATATAAATGGTACCAATAATTAATAAATGGACCAAAGATCAGAAAGATGCATTTATGGGTAACCTGACATTCATCTTATGATTGAGTGGATTCAATCAAAGCATTTTCAATAACTGGAAATGCTACGAAACTTGCACACTTCAATTACTAGAGAGTTACAGCTTCTATAAAATGTCAGAATCCCTAATTAAAGATAGCTGGAGAAGTCTACTGCAGTGTTTTGGGGAGGAGAAAGAAGGGTTTGTCATTGGTAAAAGTTGCAGTATCTTTCCCTTGTAAAATTATTCACCTCAAAATATGAAATAAGCAACAGACTCTGGCAGGGGATCATAATGTCAGTAATATGGGTGCTAACTGAATGCTTGTGTTTTTCAAGATGTTGCTGTCCTCATTTTCCTCTCAGCTCCATAGAATTTGCACGGGATTTGCTAGCCTGGCCAGGTTGTGCCGGAGGAGTGGTTAATGTGCTGCACCAAATAAAAAAGGGAGAGAATGAAATTAAGGTGCCTGTGAGCTTTGTTTTGATTCAAATGAAAGGATATTCCTTGTTCCTTTGTGACACAGTGGCTCTAGGAATTCATGTTGTAGTGCACCAGTATTTTGTTTCTTTACAAATAGCACCTAGCATTCACCTGGATTGTTTGGCCATTGTTGAGCAGATGTTTCCATGAAACAATCTGTGGTAAATCCAAGATCTTGTGCCTGGGTGGTGAGAGTCAGCTCGCAGTCCGAGTAGACAGGGGATCATCTCAACGTAGCTTTGGTTTCCAGTAGATTCATGGCCCTTGGTGTGACTGTCCTATCTGCTCTTGCAATCCTATTCTGCAGAGTGCCACCAAATCATATGGTTAGTGCAGGATTTTGGTGCAGCTGGTAAAAAGCTTAAGCTTTCCTGGCTTAAGAACTGCCTTGGCAGCTGAGCTCCTTTCCTTCCTGCGCACTGCTCCTCAGCACCACGTTGGTTTGGTGACTGTGGGCTGAGTTATCCCAGTAAGGGGCAAGTGTCTGTTGGGGCACTTTTAGTTCTTGGTACTGAGGTGGATCTCGCGAGACAGACCCACCGGCACTGTGTTGCTGCACACACCAGTGTGTCCATCCGTGCCTGACATGGTCAGGAATTGAAAAAAAACTCTCAAAAAGTGGTAAAAAGGCATGTGGTCCTAACAGTCAAGAGGAAGACCCAATGAAGAACAGCAGGGCATCCTGCTGCTCTTCCTCTGAGCAGAACTGAAATTAATGTGTAAACTCTGTTGTACATGATAACTCCTGACCCTTGGCTTCCCACGGCTTCCCTCAGCAAATCTGCTTTGTATGCCTTCAACTTCATTTCTCACTTCCCGTTTTTTGTCTCTAACAGTTGATCGGAATGCTTCTGGCGTGCTGTCTGTCCCGGTTTATTACTGCTAATCAGTATGAGATGGTGTAACGAGGTGAGTTTTTACCACCTTCTGCATGCTACGCTGTGAGGTGCTCTCCCGATGAAGATAGTTGGCAAGTTTTAGATGCTCAAGAACGTCATCTTCCCAAATGACCTTTGGTTTGGATTTTGTGTTCCAGTGACAAAAGGGGATACTCTTTGGAGTATCATTTCTTAGAAAGAGGGGGCAAACTATTTGTGGCGCACGCTGTTAGCAACATTCACCTCTCTCCTTGCTCTCTCGCCTTGCAGAAGTGAGAAACCCAGCGCCTGTCCCAAGACGAGGATCCGCAGAACTGGAGAAGGACTGAAACGAATGTCATAGCACACACACTGTCTCCCGCCCGCACACCCACCCACCCGCGCGCGCGCGCCGCCTCACGAAGTCTCTGCCACGCGCCGCGCCCCACGCCCTGAAGCGCCACGCCCCACGCCGTGAAGCGCCGCGCCCCACGCCGTGAAGCGCCGCGGTGCCGCGCGCGGCCCGAGCCGCCGCCCGCCGCCGGGGCCCCGCGCGGCGCCGCCCGTGTGTTCGTGCTCATGCCGTAGTTGCGTTGTAAGTTAACAAAGGTAACCTCATCCATTAACCGCAGCGCCCGGCGGGCTGTGCATGTAGTGACCGGAGGGCGTAACTCGCCTTTCACCGTGGTTAATAAGTGTTGCACACATTCGTATAAGCCGGTATATGAAATATATATTCTTTGGGGTTGATCTCAGTTTGTTTATTTGCTTTACTGAGGTTTTTGTCCTTTCCCCCTTCCCTGCATCTGTGCCCCCCCCTGCCCCGCCAACAAAGAAATCAGTAACAAAACATGAAGATACTTGAAACTGATGTTAAAACGTTGTGCTTGAAGGGAACTGTTACTCCTGGTGTTCTTCTACATCTTTGATTCTTACTCAGTGTTGTATGCCTAGTGCGTATCCCGGTAGGCTTGTCTAGTGCATTTTGCCTCTGAACCTGAACCTGTGTAATACTGTTATTAAGCTGTGTTGTTGCTTACTGTGAAGGCAGTAATTTTGCTTCCTTTATTTTTGTTAGATAGTTACGAACTAATTGACCTGTGCTGTACTGCGGCCTTCATACCTTTTCCTCTTCTTTTTCTTTCTTTTTGCATTGAAGTTGCAGCCACCGAATACATTGTTGAATCAAATCAAAATAAAAACAAACACACACAAAAAAAAAAAAAACCACAGAAAGCCAGGCATATGGAATATTTTTTGGGGAAAGCAAAAGTTTAAAATCTTTTTAAAGAATAGGACTTTTTTAATAATGCCTCTGTCTAGCATGCCAACGAGAATGCGTTGATTATTGTGAGTACTTGTGATATACGTATTAATAAATGGAAACCATTACGGATTTGTCGCTGCTTCCTTTTTGTTCTTTAGTCTTCACAAAACTCTTCTCAGGGGGGAGGAGTGGAAAGGAAACCCAAGTGCCCAGCTTCGCGTGACATGTTTCTCTGTGCATATTTCAATTTGCCACTCACATTCGAGGGGAAAAATGTTATTACCCTGGAAAAGAGAAAGCTGGAATTGTTTCAAAACTCCAAGAAAAATCCTTCCACAGCTGCTTTTGCCACGTGACAAGAACGTACCCTGTGCTTTGCAATTTCTCTTCTTGTGACTGATGGTATCTGCAGTATTTAATTATCCTGTCCCTGGTGCTGTGTGTGATTTGGCACTAGGCAGTTCTCTCTGTGTGGCTGCAGTGAGTGTGTGGGTGGCGAGACGAGGGATGGGGAGGACATGGAGCCGCCTCTGCTGCCTTGACGGAAAGGCAGGCCCAAGTCTCTCTCTTTTGGGCTTGCAGAGAGCTGAAGGTCTGATCCAAAGTCTGATCCAAAGCCACTCTGGAAGTTTTGCACCAAGCCCTTAACCTGACATCTTGGGCAGAAGGGAAGATTTGAGGAACACTCCGTGGCTTTCTTGGGGTCTTTCTAAATACAATGAGGCAAATGCAGGAGACAGAGAGGCCCTTGCTGAGACAGGCAGCAGCCTCTCAGCCCTCTCCGCATCTCTGTGGGGGCTGTTGCATGGGTGCTCACACGGGCCCTTGAGCTGCTGCAGGCCCTGCCTGCGTTATTGGCCATTGCTGGCCTGCAAGATAGCGACCGCCTGGCCTTAGGGTACCGAAATACCCCGTGCTGTGGGACAGTTGCTGTGCTGTGGCCTAAGAGATCATTTCAAAGGGCTCTGAGAGCATGGTGATGTTCACTAATGGGGGCTGCAAAATGATACCTACTGTAGTCATGGCCTGGGTGGTTTGAGGTTTCAGATGGCCAGAAAGGACAGAGGAACATCTGGGCATGTCTTGGAATAAATAAAAGCTGCACTGCTGACTGCACTTTCACAAAGGCCTAGCGCTGCTCCAAACGTGGTCCCCACAGCTCTCTGCCAGGCACTGACCCCCCATCTGCCTCCTCCCCTTGTCCATCCCCCCCTGCCCTACCCCAGCGCGTAGCAGCAGCCGCCGGGGGTCCCTCATCCGTGCAGCGCCGGGGCTCTGGGGAGCCTGCAGGTCCTTTTGGCAGCCAGCAGGATCCCTGCGGAGGGATCCCGCATCGCTGGGGCTGGGATCCGAGTGTGCCGGGGCACCTGGAGCCTGAGCGGCACCGCCCGGGGTGCCGGCACGCGCCGCTGCCGCCTCGGCTGCCGAAGGCAACGCGAGCGGTGCCGGCGCTCTCCTCACGGCCGCTGCGGCCGCGCTGGGAGTGCCTGCAAAATGGGCAAGCGTGGCGCTCCACTTTGCTTTCCCCCAGGAAGACGGGAAGTCAGCGCTGTCGCTCCATCTCAAAATGCAAGTGATCCGTCTTTTGTGGATCCGATTCGCTGCCGAAGCGAGCAGCTCTGATTTGCTGCTCAGTCTCTGCTCCTGTATGTGATTCAGCTCTGCGCTTCGTCGTTTGGCTTCTGCCGCAGTCTGCACTGCCGGCTGCAAGTTCCTCGTGAAGGGGACAAAAAGGCTTAGTATGTGTGTGAGAGAAGCGTTAGGATGTGGGGCGTCTGAAGCGTATTACAGGAGTCTGTTTGGACTGGGGATATATTAAAACTCAGCTGAAGAACTTTCTCCTTTTCATACCTGAGACGTTCCCCTACCAAGGACAGGCATGTAAAGAATTTCCTAGCACCTGTCCTGTGAAAGTGTGTGCTTGTGCAGCACCCAAACGTGCACACGTGCATGCACACACCACACTGTGTCTCTGTATGAAATGCGAAGACTCACCCGTAGATGAAAAATGGCTCAACTTTCAATATGTGAACACTGCAGGTTAAGTCAGAAGAGCAGAAAGCTTCTGTTACTTGCAAGCGAAGAGTTCCTCTCTCCTCTGCATTTGTACATGTGAAAATGTTACTCATAATTTTTACTTTATTTAGAAGCTGTGATGCAAAGTACAGCAGGGCTCAACAAATCCTGCCTATCTCACATAAGTCATTTTGCTGATTTTTTCCTACCACGTAAATTACATTACCTCAGAGCAAACAAAGTGTTCACGAAGGCAATTTTTATGTCTCTTCTCCTTCGCTGCCATAGTCTCTCCTTGAAGTTCAGCACTGTGCTAATTTGACATAGAGATCTGTAAATAAGAGCAGAGGCAGCTGCTTCGTGAATTGAAATTCGTGCTGAATGCAGCTGCCTTCTGCAGCTCGGCGTTCCTGCAGCCTGTGCGCAGCGCAGAGCAGTCTCGGCGCACCGCGCGGCTGTGCTCAGGAGGAGCTGTCGTGGGTTCTGCTGTGTGCCGGGCAGTGGATCTGCCCGTAACTGCAGGCAGCAAATGCTGCAGACACCAGGCCGTTCGTCTGAGTCGGCTGAGGGGGTCAGTTAAAACCTGGGGGGTCTTTTTGGTTCTTTTAGATCCAAGCTCCTGCGCTGCAGTCCTCCGTTGGCTTCATGCGCGCCGTGCTCAGCAGCAGCAGATCCGAGGCCTTGCTTTCGCGCAGGGCCGGTGGTCAGTGGATGCTGGGGATGCCACTGCTTGACTGACTTGCCTTGAATTCTTTTTCTCCTTACCAATTACAAATGCTCTGGGTTCAGATGGAGGTTACTTATATGGCCTGTGGGCTCAAGCTTTGTAGTTCGGTCTGCGGTTTGTGCCTTTGAGGTCTTAATTTTATTTATTTTTATTTTGAATGTCTTTCATCTGTGCAGTTCAGCACTGCTTAGGACAGCAAGTAACCGCCTGCCTCGAGGGAGCAGGTCATTGTTTTTGGCTCAGCCTGGAGGGAGCTGCATTTCCCCATGATGAACAGAAACGCCCGTGCTTCGGGCATCCCCTTGCCTTTGGCAGCTTTGTGTTTGGCCAGACAGAGTGCCCAGCACTGTGCCCACGCTGAGGCCGCTTTGGCGCTCAGCTGTGCAGCAGGTTTGAGCTTAACTAAACGCGGGGAAGGTCAGCAGCACATCCGCCTAAATGCTGGGCAGTCGGCGTGCGAGTTTTTGAGCTGTAGCTTTATATGCTCTCCCGTCCTGCTGAACCACCATCCTTTCCCTCGCGAGCCAAATGAAACCGCCAGAACTGAATCAGAGGCAAAGATGTGGAGGCAGAAAGGAAGTGCCGCTCTGTACTGATCACCACACAGCTCATCTGCAGTTCCTTCCGAGGCCTCAAAGAAGCAGTAGCTGCTTGTTGAGCTGCCGGGACAGCTCGAGATGCTGGCGCAATGCCCTCCCTTACAGACGCAGGAAGTTTGTAGAGCAGCATTTTTCCATTTACCAGAAAGAGCTGCCCCACAGGCTGTCCCAGTTTTCCATCCCCATTCACCTCCTAGGCGCTTTCTCCTGTCACGTGCAGCGGGGAGAGGGGGCCAGACGCCCGTCTCCTCCTGCAGCAGTTAGGAGGGAGCTTTGGGATCAGAAAAGCACCCGCCCTTCCCTGGGGTCTGTCTGTCCTCAGCCCCCTGCTGCGGGGCTAGCAGAGCCACATTGGCCTCTGCTTTGTCCTCAGCCTCCTGATGGACCTCAGCTTGTCCCCTCTGCTTCCACGAGCCCTTCCCCATCTTGCCCATGACGGTGAGATCTGGGCCTGCGTCCCTGCACACAGGTAGGACCTGCCACGCGAGGGGCTTGGCTTCTCCCTGAGGGCAGCAGCCACTGCAGCACGAGAAGCAGGAGCAATCCCCAGCGGCGAGCTCCCCACGCTGCACAACCAACCCTGTGTGAGCTGAAGCAGCGAGTTTGAGAACCCCGATTTCTTTGAAAATGACCCCAGCCAGCTGTCAGAGCTCCCCGGTCTCCAGGGTGAGTGCGACACGGCACTGAAAGCGGTGAGTCAATAAACCTACAAGTTGCCATTGCTAAATAAAGAATTTCTATGGGAGAATGTTGCTCCAGGGGAAATAGGCT